CTGCACTAATACTGTCAAATAGATCATCCAGAGTAAGTGATTAATATCCAAAACTGAGTTAATCGATCCTATCAAAGTATCACTACTTTCTTCAAGTTTATACTTTACCTATGATGAGGCTTGAACTCTTGAGTTGTAAAAATGTTACCAATGTATCTGTCAACAAAAGATCAAAATCAAAATTAGTTCAAGATAGAGATGGGAAAAAACGGTCCAAAGATCTAAGGTTTTGAAGAATTAAGCATAGATGAAGAAGTCAAAGTCATCTAATTTTGTGGAGATATAAATAAGCAAATACTAACAAAGAAATAAAGAATTGAGATAAACATTAATTAGAATTGATCCTTATCGGTATTAGTTAGTTAGGCATATATTTAAGGGAAATGGATATGGATAAACACTGTGGGTGGGTTTGGGGGTGATAACAAAAAGCTAGAAGCTTTACTAACTTGTACTAATGCATCATTAGTTTGTACTCTGAAATTTTAGGGTTTATGGTTTAGGGTTTATGTATTATAATTTGTATTTAAGAGTTCTACGTAAATGTTTTATAATATAGTATAGATAATATATATATATATATATATTATAATCCAAAAATGAAAAGAATAATAATAAAAATAAAAAAATTATTTATTCCTTGAATTTCTTTTTTTGGGTTTTACAACTCTTCCCTCCTTCAAGAAATTACGTCCTCGGAATTAATACCCGCTAAACAGTTGAGGATATTTAGCTTTCATCTCTTCTTCTGGTTCCCATGTCATTCCTGCACATTTATGGAATTTTCACTTAACTAATACCAGTGGTATACTTTTGTTTCTTAGTCTTTTCGTCTTTTTATCCAATATCTCGACTGGCTCTTCTACGTAAGCGAGTTTGTTGTTAACCTCGATGTCTTCCAAATCCATAACAGCTGACTCGTCAGCTAAGCACTTTCTCAAGTTCGACACATGAAAGGTGTTGTGGATACTACCTAACTCCTTTAGTAGTTTCAACCGATAAGAAAATGCTCCTACTCTTGCAGTTATCTCAAATGGTCCAATATACCTTGGACTTAGCTTACCTTTCTTCCCAAATCTTACAATTCCTTTTCACGGTGATATTTTCAATAAGACTTTATCACCCTTCTGAAATTCCAAAGGCCGACGCCTTCTATCCGGATAACTCTTTTGTCTATCTTGTGCAACCTTTAACCTCTCCCTGATTTGTATTATTTTATCAGACGTCTATTGGACTAACTCGGGGTCCAGCTAGCTGTCTTTCTCCAATATCTACCCAACAAATTGGGGTTCTACACTTGCGACTATACAATGCTTCAAATGGTGCCGCCTTGATGCTCGAGTGGTAACTATTGCTATAAGCAAATTCTATCAATGGGAGGTGGTTGTCCCAACTACCCCCAAAGTCAATCACACAATCTCTCAACAAATCCTCTAGCGTTTGTGTCATCCTCTCACTCTAGCCATCAATGTGAGGATGCTATGCAGTACTAATGTTCAACCGTGTCCCTATTTCGTGTAGAAAACTTGACCAAAATCTTGAAGTAAACCTAGCATCTCTATCTGAGACAATGGATATCGACACACCATGCCTCGACACAATTTCATTGACCTAAAGTTGGGTCAATCTTTCTAATGTATACTTGTTACTGATAGGTAAGAAGTAAGCAAACTTTGTTAGTCGGTCAACAAGTACCCATATGTCATCGTGTCCCTTTACCATCCTTGGAAGTTTGGTGACAAAATCCAGCGTTATCATATCCCACTTCCATACTGGGATCTCCATTTGTTACAACATTCTCGATGACTTTTTATGCTTTGTCTTCACTTTCAAGCATATCAAACATTTCCCCACATAGCTAGCTACTACCCTTTTCATATCAGGCCACCAATAGCTTTCTTTCATATTCTTGTACATATTTTTACTACCTGGATGCATAGTGTATTTGGACTTATGTGCTTCATTCATCACTACATTTCTTAGGTATCCCAAACTAGGAATCCAAACCCGATTCCCATGTCTATATATTCCATCTGGTCCGGTTGTCAAAGTCTTAATTTGTCCAACCATTCTCTCCTTTTAATATTCGCTTTGATTAAAGCTTCTTTTTGGATATCCCGTATTCGATCTAGCAGCTCCACTTTAACACTCATCCACATGGCTTGAACCCTGATTAGTCCGGTTCTCTTCTTCCTACTAAGTGCATCGACAACTACGTTTGCCTTACCTGGATGGTAGTGAATCTCACAATCATAATCCTTAAGTAGTTCCATCCATCTCCTTTGTCTCATATTTAGCTCCTTTTGGTCAAACAAGTACTTAAGGCTCTTATGATCAGTATAAATCATGCACTTCGTACTGTACAAATAGTGTCTCCAGATATTTAGCATGAAGACTACTGCTGCTAATTCCATGTCGTGAGTTGGGTATTTCGTCTTGTGTTCTTTCAACTGACGTGATGAATATGCAATGACCTTGCCTTGCTGCATTAGTACACAAGCCAAACCCATTTTTGATGCATCGCTATAAACGACAAAATCTTCTATTCCTTCCGGTAGTGATAAAAACCGGTGCAGTGCTTAGTCTCTCCTTGAGTGTATGAAATGCTTCTTCTTGTTTCCTTCCCCAATCAAACTTAACCAACTTGTTTGTCAGTGTTGTCAAAGGCATTGCTATCTTGGAGAAATCTTGGATGAATCTTCGGTAATATCCCGCTAGGCCTAGAAAACTTCGGATCTCCGATACTGACTTTGGTGATTCCTAGTTCATAACTGCATTGATCTTTGCCGGATCCACCTTGATCCCTTCCGCATCAACTACGTGACCAAGGAATTGTATCTAACCAAAACTCACATTTTGTGAACTTGGCGTACAATTGCTCCTTTGCTAGTAATTCAAGAATCGTCCTTAAGTGTTGCTCATGCTCCTTCTTGCTTTTCGAATAGATCAACATGTCATCTATAAAGACTATGACAAATTGGTCCAAATATGGTCCATAAACTCGATCCATTAAGTCCATGAATGTCGCGGGTGTGTTTGTTAACCCAAATGACATTACTAAAAATTCGTAATGTCCATAAAGAGTCCTAAAAGCGGTCTTCGACACGTCCTCTTCTCGAACCTTCAACGGGTGATAACCCGATCTTAAATAGATTTTCGAGAAATAGCTGGATCTTTACAACTAATCGAAGAGGTCATCGATCATTGGCAATGGATATCTGTTCTTTATCGTGGTTTCGTTCAACTCCCGATAATCGATGCACATCCTCATCGTACCATTTTTTTTGACGAATAATATCGGCCCTCCCCATGGTGACGAGCTTGGCCTGATAAACCCTTTATCTAAGAGTTCTTGTAATTGTTTGATCAACTCTTGCATTTCTGTTGGGGCTAAACAATAAGGCGCCCTTGCGATTGGTGTCGCACCTGGTACCAAATCGATTCGGAACTTTACTTGACGTTTCGGTGCTATTCCCGACAATTCATTCAGAAATACTTCTGCGTAAACCTTTACCACTGGAACATCCTGCATTGCCTTCTTTTTGAGCTTGACGTCGATGGTGTATGCCAAGTAAGCCACACATCCCTTCCGCAGACACCTACTCGCCTTAACTACATTGATTAATCCTACGCATCACTTTTTTCGATCATCGTAAACATGAATTGTTTCTCCATTCGAAGTCTGAATCTTGATCATATTTTTATTGCATACCATTTGTGCATGATTGTCGGACAATCATTCCATCCCCAAGACCAGGTCAAAACCCCCTCAACACATTGGCATAAGCCTAACAGAGAAATCCTTACCATCTATAATGATCGTGCATTCATCAAATACTTTGTCTACCTTACACTGACTACCATCGGTTGTTTCTATAGTGTAGATTTTGTCTAGCCTACAGGCACTCCTATTTAGATAGTGGCAGAAGGTGGTAGACACAAAACTACCGTTTGCACCTAAATCAAATAATATATATGCATACACATTATTGACAGGGAACATACGAGATACGACGTCAGGTGTTTCCTAGGCCTCCTCCAAAGTTATGTTGTAAGCTCGGACATGCCCCTTAGGTAGTTCCTTCCTCTTTTCTTATCCCTTCCCAAATCCGCTATTCACTATCTTTATATGGGGTGTTGCACCCTTTTGATGTTTTGGACATTCAGGTCATAAATGTCTCGTAGCCCCACATTTATAACAAGTTTTTCTTTCTGGAAACTCTCGTGTGGTATGCCCGGGTTTATCACATTTGTAGCATGTTAGACTCCCCACTCTACACTCTCCCATATGTCTCTTGTTGCATTTGTTACATGGAGGAATAGTGAATTCCTCGCTTCGTGATTTTGCCAGAGTTGGAGTCCATTTTGATTTCTTATTGAACTTGTTTGATCCTTCCCATCTTCTTTTTGCGTCTCGTTTATCATTGTTCTCCCTAGCGTTGTTCTCTTCAGTCACCTTCACCATCTCCACTGCTTGGACAAATGTGATCGGTTTAGTCATGTCCACGTACCATTTGATTTCAATTCTCAGGCCGTCTTTGAAGCGACCCATCTTTCTCTCCTCAGTAGACACCTGGTAACTGGCGAATCTCGCTTTCTAAAAAAAATCGTTAACATATTCTTGAACCGACAACGAACCTTGCTTTAACCTCAGAAATTCTGATTCTAGCTTGTTCACCTTCGATTGTGTCCAGTACTTATCCATCATCATCTTTTTCATGTTCTCCCAAGTCATGGAAGCAATGTCATCATTACCTCTAATTGCACACTCAGACTCTCACCGATGTAATGCATAGTCCACAAAGGTTGTAGCCACATAGGTCACTTTTTGATCTTTTGTGCACCTACAGATTTTGAATCTACTCTGTATCTTGGTTACCCACTTCATCAGGCCAACTGGGCCTTATATCCCCTTAAATTCTTTCGGCCCGGTGCCTTTAAATGTTTTAAAACTGCATCTTTTCTTCTTAATTGTCAATTCAATTTTCTCTTTGGTGGGTGACTCCACCTTTCCTTTAATGGATGCCTCCACCTTTTCAGTGGCTTGAGTGTTGAGCATGGTGTTCTCATGTCGAACACTTTGCTTCTCTCCATCCTCATTGTCCTTAAATCTGTCACCCAACATTGTCTTAAGCATATTTTGCAATGTATCCCAGAGGACTTGTGCCATCTGCTCAACTATCATCTCCTTTGTGAGGGGATTTCCCTTTCTCCTAACTTCTTGACTCCTGCTTATAGCTAAATTAGCTTGTGTGGATGGAGTTGTACTAGAACTAGCGGTTCGAACACTGCCTCGACCTCGACTTTAGGTTCGTGTCCAACCTCGGACTGTTGGTGAAGCCATGCCATTAGCACATCCCCCATTGAGGGCATTCCATGTTGATCCACGAGAAACCATACTTACATAATAGGATATTATCATTTTAATACGGTTCTAATGTCAATCATAACACACTACTATTTTTATAACTAGGGGTGTTCAAAAAAACGTCGGATCGCTCAAACCGGCCGAACCAAGTCAAACCGGACCGTTTTTGGCAGTTTGAGCGGTCTGGCGGTCCGATTTGGTTTGCAAAATAGCAAAACTGGGCGGTACGGTCCGGTCTGCGGTCTGGAACACTTTTTGGGCGGTTTGGACCAAACCGACCGCCAAATATATATATTAGTATTAGCAAGCTCAACTTTTTTTAACTTATGGGCTATGACCCAAATATATCCCTTAGCCTAACATCTAACACAATCAAAATCGACGCCTAAAACCATTAAACATATCACATTTGATATTGACGGTCGCTAAATTTTGAAGTCTCTTAAGAACTCTATCGTTCTTCCTAATGCATGGCTTGATTTCGGCGCACATCATCAAGACATCAACCAAGTGATTCAACCAACTTAGATTTGGCTTCTATTTTGTTTGGTGAAGAACTCAAGACTCAATAATTGAACTATTGAAGGTTGTGGAATTGTGGATTTTTTTACTCGATCTGGAATACGAATTGGCACATGATGACGTAGATGGGGAGTGTTGTTTATTGTGTCAGAGGTAACTATAGTTCCTTTCCTTTGCTTTGCTAGTGTAAATATGGTTGGTTGGTTGGTTGGTTGTTGAGTGTGCGTTTTATGTTAAAAACAAACAGTAGCGCAACGGGGGATTTGGTAAACTATAGGATATCTGGGTAATGGGTTGTGACAGAAGATAGGGTCTTGGTGCCTTTAAGGTATGGATGTAAACTCTTCCTTTCCGTTTCATTCTATTCCTAGGGTAATCCTTAGCTAGTTAAACACTTTCGTAGTTGATCATTGGACCTTTTTATTCATTATGATTCATTTCTCTTTGACAACTTGGGGAATATGGAGTTGATGGGGTCAAGTTTAATCATTTATCTTACAAGATTATTATGGAACTTAATAATATCTTATAATCTTGTTCTTCAATCACGTTTTTGTAGGTTGGGGATGTTGTTCATCATAAATGAGGGAAAGTTTGGTTAGAGCATATGGATTGTTTATTACAATTGAAGATGTTATTGGAGCAACAATCACATAGCCTTGTCCTTTCACTTTGGTATGTTAATCTCTTAACACTTCTGAGTTTTAGCAAGTGTAGAAATTTTTTATTACACAACTTTAAGCTCATATATTTGTTTTTTAATTATAGATAGTGCATGACGAAGATTGATATCTCTCGTTTGTAAGACACACTATATAAGATTTTTTGTATTTGCATAATTCTTGTTTAGTACTTAGTTTTGTCATGATACAACTTTGTGGTGGATACATAGCTTGATAGTTGGTACTCATGTAAGTATTTGTACAACTTTGAATTTTGTTCTATCAAATCAATTCGTAGAACTTTCATATATGCTTCTAAATGTAATATTACAGAAGGATTTTATAATTGGATGATGCATCTCACATTATAGTCATTTAGGACGCTTTTAGTGTTAAAAATTATAACCTATTAGGACACTTTTTTAGTATTACTTAGTTTATTTTATAGGACCCTAAAATTTGTTTCATAATTATATAACTTATTAAGACACATATTTTGGTAATATATAATTGTTTTAGCGACATTGAATTTCGTCCTATAAAAGCATTTTTTGGGAGCCCATATTTGTTTTTAAATGTAAACATTTTGAGACAACATAAAGTGTCCTATATTATAGTCTATTAGGACACTTTTTAGTGTTATTTAAACCATTTAATAAGACTATAGAATTTGTATCATAATCCTAGAGTTTTTTAGGACACTCAAATTTATCTCATTAACCTAATACAACACCTTTAGATGAGACACACATATTTTTTGTCCTATAAACTTAAAAGTCCTATTAACTACCTTATTAGGACACTAATGAGGGTCCTATAAACCCCTTTTTGTTGTAGTGTCAATACTTACAGTGAAGTTGTAACTTTGTTAATTTGTTTCTTTTCTAATATGTATTATATATTTATTTGTTTATTCTTTGGATTGCTTCGACTTTATATTCAAGAGCTGTTTAATTATTACATTTATTTGTTTAGAAATTTTGTTTTGTTAAAATGGATATTTAATCTAAAATTCTAAATTATATATGTTTTTTAAGTTTAATATTTAAAGTCCATTAAAGGCCCAAACCGCCTAAACCGGTCAGACCAGACCGTCTTTTCGCGGTCTGGTTTGACCAGTCTGAGCACTTGACGTCAAACCGCTCGGTTTGAAAATTTTATAAACCGTCATTACGGTTTGGTTTGTGGTCTGAGGGGTTAAACCGCCCAAACCGGACCACAAACACCCCTATTTATAACATAACCACCACATATAAGTGAAGTACATAATAAGGAATCCACATCAAAATTTTCATAATTCTCACTAAGGTGTATATATATATATATGTATATATATATATATATATTGTGTCAATAAACAATCATGGAGAGAGAGACATTACATAATCCCATTTACTTACAAAAGATAGAATACTTCATAATCCTAAACACATCTCTAAATTATGTGAATGCTCAAAATATCTATTGAAGCACTGGACCAGATGAAATTTGATCAACTATCTAGACACGCATAATAAAATCACATACCCAAAAGATCTTTCTCTCTCCCCTCTCTTAAATTGATACTAATTCTAAAACCGATCCACGGGGTAGTAAGGGAGATAAGGGTCCCTCAACCACTCCTCAAAATACGTGGATGGCCTGAGATGCCACAACATACTAGCCTTTGGGCCATTTTTGATGCATTGGACCGAGTAGGAGAAATAGCCCCTCAATAAGTCAACATAATCTATGGTCATTTTCTTATAGAAACGAGCCCTGTCTCTAAATCTAGCTCCCACGGGGTGAGCATCGAATCTTCGTTCCTGTTCAAGTACAACTTTATCCCAAATCAGTGCATGATGTTGCTCCGACAAGTTTGCATTCTCTACAACTAGCTCGCTTAGGGCTCCTCCTTGTTCGACATGTGCCTGCTGAAGATTGTTCAGCTATCCCCTCAGTTTAGTGTTCCCATCAAAAGTTTGGGCCAACCTCTCTCTTAGCTCGGTGTTATCTCCCCTCAAGGTCTCTATAGTGTCCATCACACTACAACAAAAAAGGTTTTATAGGACACTTTTTTGGGACACTTTTCAAGATTCGTCCTTTAAAATGGTTAATACGACACATTATTTTGGGAGCCTTATTTGATTTAATTTAATAGGACACTTTTTAATGTCATATTATTTTAGAGTCTAATAGGACACTATTTAAGTGTTATATCATTTAAAAGTCTAATAGGACACTTTAAAGTGTCATATTATTTTAGAAACTAATAGGACATTTTAAAGTGTTGTGTTATTTTTAAAAGTTAATAAAACACTTTTGATTGTTGTATTAATGTTTAAAGCTAATAGGACACTTAAAAGTGTCCTATTAAAGATTAAAATGTGTTATTTTTAAAAGTTAATAAAACATTTTTGATTGTTGTATTAATGTTTAAAGGTTATTGAGTTAAAAGAAATTTAAAAACTATGCTCCTAATTGAAAGCTCATTTAAAAAGTTTATATATTGGTAAGTCAGCTTCCTCTCAAACTTGGMTTTGACCATGCAAAACGTGCCCATAAGCCAAGGTATGAGTTTTCATTTCTTTTGATCTCTACTTCTATACATTTTAGGATTCCATATCCTCAACCATTCATTGCTATATGAAAGAACACCCGCACTTGGTGCACTTCTGCCAATATGCCAAACAGACTCGRACACTGCTATATCACCTGATTRCKATGTTTTTATTTCARCCATAATTCATAAATGTGGCAAGAGAAATATTAGTTATACACTCCTTCTAACCTAATGGTTTAGTTACATAYTGTCCCCTAGTATGTTTCTTTTTACATCAATGCAGTGAGCGAATAATGTATACGATGTTTTAAATAAGCTTAAAGTACGCCAATGCAGTGACTTCCTAACCAGTCTTGATATTCCAATTTCACTGCAAGTTCTGTAAGAGAACCATAAATAACAACCAACATTTTAAACCATATCGACATTGTTGGCTAAGTCTTAGCTTAACTTAACATGTTGATGGCATTGTTTTGAAGCTATTTGGGTATTGGCATTGTTTTGAAGCTATTTGGGTATCATCATAGTATTGTGGCTTTTGTATACTGATCATATTGTTTTTTAATGATTTTAGGAGCAACACCCAAGTCAGTTCTTGAGCTAATGGATGTGAAAGATCTCACCTTATCTCATGTTAAATCTCACTTGCATGTTAACTTGGCCTCCATTTTTGCAATGTTCAAATTAATCTTATTGATACATGTATTTTCTGTTTTCAAAACATAATTGCTTTGCAAGATGCATTGTCTGTCTACTGTGTAAATATATTTATTATTTAATTTTGGCAATTTACTTACTTCTCTTTTCTTTTTTGTCAGGGTGACGGTATCCTAGCAGATTCTAGCACTGAGCAGCTGGAGTTTATAACACTAAGTCAAAGGATAGGAGATCCAAAGTATCAATAGAAGGTATTGTTTCTATTATGTAAGAAAGAATTCATTATGAGTATGTATGTGTATGTTTTGTCTCATTATGACAGTATCCAAAGAATTCAAAGAWKTYTGTCTCTACCACATCTTAAGAAAGAATTCATGTCAATTATGAAGTTGGAAAAGTAGCATGTATGTGTATGCTTT